GATTTTTTTTTTTTTGTTACAACATATTGAATCAAATTATTACACACAAAGATTCAAATAATTTCCCCTTTTCTCTTTTCTGTTTTCAGTCCCGAATTGCTGAACAATTGTAAAAACTGAAAATTAAATTTTCATTATCACCATTGAAGATATTTATATAAAATTGATTATATTTGCATTTTTAATAAATAGAAAATAAAATCCACCTATATGTACTGGTTGCAATATGAAAGAATGAAGATTTTACTGATAAATTATTTCAATAAAAAAATGTTGTCATCGAATTACATAAAGTTCTGAGGAGACTGCAAATCAGAGTAAAAAAAGACAAATATTTAAGAGGCAATTATATTATCAAACATTGTACGAGGTTGGGTTAAAAGGCTGACTATGAAGGAGTCACGTTAGAGCTGTGAAATCTTGCATGTATTCATTTCAACTCTTCTTCTTAATAACTGCATTAGGTGTTTCCAACTAAACAGACATTTGACTGTTACAAAGAGACTATTCATCCTATTAGTCAGAAAATTCATTAACAGTTGATATGTTGTCAACATCATTGTGATAGTGGTCCCCAACCAAGTGTTTTTTCATTTTGGGAAATGTTGATGATCAAATCAGGAGAACAGAGTGGGCCATCAACTAGTTCAAATTCACAGTCACGGATAGTATCCATTGAAACCAAGAATGTGTGTACTGAAACATTGTCCTGATGAAATAAGACCTCTTTCATTAGTTTTTCTGGGAATTTGGTCGTTTATACACTTTAGTATCAGCCTCAAAATAGACAAAACGCAAGAAATTTTGAAGACTAACGCCCAGTAAAATATAGTTAACACTAGTAATTTATACAACTGTACAAATAAGAATAGAGGTTCATTAATTGTAAAACAAAACAGAAGCTATAATTTATAAAGTAGAAGTAACAGATATTAATAGCCAAATAAAACATACATAGCATGTACGGAAGTTACATTCAAACGTAGGTGGTACAATTATAGGCCGCCATTTAAGCTAGCAAACCTTAGGTACTCTACCAAACTATGTAACCATGTGGGCATTTGAAAAAAAAAAAAAAACAACAGGGATCCAATTGTAAGGTGGAAAAACTTTTAAAAAAATTTTAAAGTCTTACAACAATTACAACAGTATTTGCAACCTCTGTCAACAGAGAAAAAAATAAATTATGTCAATTCCGGATCCAAAGAACATTTTAAGCAGAAATTCGAAGACTTTCTTAAGTACTTGCTTACATAATAGAAAAATTCTCTTAAATGCATTTATGAAGCTGGATAAAAAAGTAATAGAAATTTAAATTACCCCACCCTTACAATACCGTCCTCCTCCTCCTTTATCTTCTTCTTCTTCTTCTTCTTCCTCCAACTGACCACCTGACTTGTAAAAAACTTTTGAATTATATGTACACTGCGTGCCAAATTATTATCGAGATAACTGTTTTCTAATATTTCAAAAATCGTCCAATCACTGATAATAAATATGGCATCAGTTTGTTTATATTGCGCAGATCAGTAACCTCTCTTTCAGTGATTGCGCAGGTCAGTGTTGCCAATATTGCATGAAAATTTTGTGCGAATTGATTGGACGGTTTTGAAATATTAGAAAGAAAGTTATCTCGATAATAATTTGGCACGCAGCGTATATAGTCGTATTGTTGTTCACTTGTTTCTCAGTATGCTGGCATAGTACTTCCCTCGTGAATTCAGGCGCCCATTTTTTGCCATGTTGATAAAGCTGACTCTCCATCCCCAACGTATCAACCCTTTCAGTATGCATGGCCTTGAAGGCTGAAACCTTTTTCTGCAATTATATGATAACACCAACATGACAAATTTTGTCCATTTTCAATAGAAGTCGCTACTAGTTACATCCAAAGTCTTCTTTGAACAGTCAGAAATCAGTTTACCTGGAAGAACACAATGCGGTTATTAACGAGAAGATTTGGAATTAATTCATGGAATATTTCAAAGCTCTATCATCATTCCTTCATAGTCTCCTCCTAAACTTTTCAGCCCGACCTCCTTTATACTTCAGGATCTTACTACAAATGCTGTACTAGTAACAAAACTTAATTTTATATATCTGGATGCATCATTCAGAAGAATTTTTGCTTCTAGGCAACAAATAGTGACAAAGATCTCCATGAAACACCTGTACATAGCAAAATAGTTTCAAGGTAGATAGATGTTGAAAATATTGCTTTTTTCATTACTTTTTTCATCAAAATTCTTCGTTGAACAACCATGTCAGTTTAACTGTAAGTAAACAATGCAGTTGTTAATAAAAGTGCTACAATTATGCAAGATTTCTCAGCTCTAACATTATTCCTTCATAGTTAGCCTATGGATTTTTAAAAACCATTCCACTATACAACGAAATAAGTAATTTTGGTCAACTTTCAGCAAGAAAAAAAATATTGATCACAAAACAAATAAAATTCAGAAAAAAAAAAGTGTTGCATTCTGCAAAGTGGATCGGTAATCTTGGATATTAAAATGGTTATTTTTCCAGGAGAATGTAAATTGGACATTTACAATGTACGAGATAACAAGTAAGAAAAGATCCTAATTCCCAATTTACCGAAAAAATACTAGAAAAAAATTGAAAAAAATGAAGTCAGAGTGAGATTCAATTTGAGGAGAGTGAAAAAAATTTAATTTTACGAATTTAAATGTCTACAGGGACACGATGAAGCAATAACACAAATCTATCAAAATTCGTACATTTTTCAACAGGACAGTGCAAGCTGTCATGCTTCGAAGTCGACCATAAATTATTTAAAAGAAAAGGGTCTGGCACAATTGGGAAATTTGTCCAACCTATTTTCTTGGCTTGAATATGATGGAAGTTTCTTGGAATATACTAAAAGAGGAAAGCGAAAGATAAATGTCCAAAATTATTGATCAGTTTGAAGAGATAACGAAGACTGAATGAACAACTATTGATTAGTCCTTTATCTTGAATTTATATATACAACCAAAAGCAAAGTTAAGTTGGAAAACAAATATTACGGAGTATTAATCAAACTTCATAATTTTTTTAGTGTAAATTATTTTTAACATTTTATTTAAACATTATAATACTCTTTTTTATGTGTCATGTCCTTTCAGGACGTTGGCGATCATGGCTCTCCACCTCCCTCTATCCCTTGCAGCTCTCAGCAAGTTCCTTCCTTTTGCTTACTCCCTCAGACCACGTTCTGTGATCCACCTGCTCAAGCACGTCAGGTAGGTCACGCGCTGCTTTCTCGTGTCTCTCTTTCCCTCTATTCGACACGTGAGTATCAGATTCTTCAGATTCCTCATTACTTGTCCTAGAAACCAGCTGCCTCTTCCTGTTTGCATCCTCTCCAAAACCTCATTGGTCCGTGATATTCTCAGCATCTTTCTGTAGAACCACATCTCCGTCGTCCCATCGGTCTTTTATTCATCATTGAGGAAATCATCCTAAATTCGCTGCCGTAAAGAAGGACAGATGTTACTTAATAGTATTCTTTTCTTTGTTAACAAAGAAATCCTCCTCTTTGCAATACTCTGCCCAGATTTTGAATGTGTCCTTGGCTATGCCAATACGTCTACGGATCTCAGTGTCCCACTTACTGTCCTCTGTCAAAATGCTTCCCAGATATTTAAGCTTCCGCACCTGCTTGATTTTAGTTTCCCCGATCTGTCAATCGCATTTCGGCCTCATTCTCTTACTGATGACCATGCATTCTGTTTTTCTTGTAATTTAAGCTTAGTCCCTTCTTCTCACCCTCCTTCGTTACCTTCTGTAGGAGGTTTTGTAATTTCTTTTCGTGTTTGCTATCATACTGTGTCATGTGCGTATCTTATGTCATTAAGATTGTGGCCGCTAATGCTGAATCCCGGTAGGGTTTCCAATTCTCTCAGAATCTTTCGCTGTATAGTTTAATACTGTTGCCATGTTTAATCTAGTGCTCCTGCTAGGTTCGAGGTTCTTGACAAAATCCAAAGAAGGATCAGTAATGTAATATATATATATATATATATATATATATATATATATATATATATATATATATATATATATATATATATATATATATATGTGTGTGTGTGTGTGTGTGTGTGTGTGTGTTATAATTAAAAAAAGACTGATGGTAAAAAAAAAATAAAGAGGAAAACTAACCGATTTCGCTCCCGTTGTTCAAAGTTTTTAATCGGGACAAAAAAGAGTAAAATACAATAAATTAGTGAATGATTGATGAGTGGATAGAGAAATAAATATGAAAAAGCGAGGGTGTACTAGAAATTAATGATAACAAGCCCCAGCAAACAATCACGCTGTTTACAGAGAGACGGTTTGAAAGATTTGATATACAGTGTCTCGTACTTTAAGATGAAATAAAGAGTGAAACTGGGACAAAACAGTAAACCAGTCAACAATGAATTCAGCCGCACACTTCCTGTTCTTTGAAAGATGCTCACAATCCGTAGTTATTTGGAATTAGATGATGTGGGAAGAGATTCATTGTCTTTTAATGAATGTAATATAATGCTTTTGACATGTGTTTATTGTTGGTAATATTGTTATTAGCAGGTTGTCGAAGTACTTTCTCCGAAAAGAATGATTTTCTTTTTTTAATTAGGATGACACTAGTAAAATCAGTGTGAGTTTTAGTTTGAATGGTTGTGCAAACATAAATGTTCGTAGATACGGGCTTTTAAATCTCGTGATATATATATATATATATATATATATATATATATATATATATATATATATATGGATTATAGGTGCTGTTCAACTTATAATTACATGAATCATTCATACAAAAAACAAATATAGAGGTTAATGATTTAAATGGCGAGAATACATCTTCGCAAACAATTTCAATAAGATACACTAACCCCGAACCTGTATACGAATGATATGATCCCTGTTTATAAATTTGTCGCAAATTCGGTCCAAACAATAGGAAGGGAACAGGTTGGTCTCGTAAAATTAGGTCCAAACAATAGGACGGAACAGGTTGGCCCGGCACCGCCTACTTCCGGAAACACTCCTCAGCTTCACGACAGCTACAATCCAGCTACAAAAAACTCCACAGATCTTTGCACTCAAATGTTCCAACACCGCCTCGTAGTTCGCTACACACAACTCTCTCGAGTGGTCTCCCGCCGTCACATTTATCCCAGCGAACACCAACCAATTTGCATACGCCCAAGTTCTCCTCTCGCCAATCCTCGCGGCTACGAGATCGCGTTTCCATAAGTCCGACTCACCGTAATGGTGGTGTTTCTTTCTTTGGACCAATTACTGCCCTACACGCCAGACACAAACAAACCCTCTTATGCCGAGAACTGAGGTTAGTCTCATTTTCATGTCCACACTCCCCCCTGGTCTCAAGATCACATGTGGCATTGCGGACGTGGTCGTTTGTTGCGGCACTCCTACGAAGGGGATTGTCTGACTTCTTCATCGGGCTCTCAGAAGGGCGTCAGAACTATCAGCATCAGCATCAGGGTCCGCAGTCAAACCATCAGGCCCGAGGGGCATAGGTCGGATCCACAGTTCATCGTTGGATGATTCACCACTGCTGCTACTAGTCAACTGGTTCGTATTTAGGGCGGGCGGACATCCTTCACATGGTGTGGAGTACCATCGACCAGCACTGCTTGCTCATTGACGATGCCGGTGATTCGCTTTTCTTTGAAAGCTGGTGGTGCACCGGCTATTGGGAGGCTTCACCCAGACGGTGTCCCCTAACTTATACGGCCCTCGTGTTCCCCGCCGATCAGGCAGACACGCGTCAATGCCCTTGTTGCGCACTTGCAGCGATGGATTGCATTGGCGGGTGCGCTTTGCAGCAGCCACGGCATACTTTGGTGTTGCATTATATCTATAGACCGCCTCCGTTATCGCACTGCTTCCTGGCCGCGATCCTCTTCACGCTTCGGTGGCACCGCTCTGCTATGCCGTTGCCACTCGCACATATGCACATCGGTGTCTGAGCCGGATCCCCACTGTCTACGAAACGCCTAAACTCCCCCGCTGCAGAAGGCCGTGTCGTTATCCGTAAGGATCTCTTCAGGCGCCCCTTTCGTAAAAATATGGACTCCAATTCACGGATGACACTGGACGAGTCCTGTCTTACTAATGGGCGCCAGATCGCGAACCTCGCCGGTCCGCAATCTATCAGTGTGAGGAAATGCTGGCTGCCGTAATGGGTTATGTCCATACCCAGTCGGCCCCAAGTCGGTTCTACCCCCAGCTGACCCTTCCGCCATCTAACTAGGGCGGGGTCGATTGACTGGCATGTTTGGCATTCCTTCACCACCGCTCTCACTTCACTTTTGGACACTGACGGATTGGTCAACTGTACAAAATAGCATGTCCGTCTCACTCCGGGGTGCCCACTGTTGTGGTGTATCTCCTTGATTTTGTCCGCCGCCAACAGAGGCAGCACATAGTAACGGTACTGGCTCAGCTTCTTTCTTCATGGCGCCATACCATCTCTGTGGCACACGAGTGAGCCTATCAGCAAGGTTGCAGTTTGAGGTGACAAGCACCGCATCCATAGATAGGTTGTACTCTGTTACCAGCTTTCTTATGGTCTCCAACCTCCGTCTGATCAGCATCTCGCTAGCCGCCTTGGTACGCACCCTGGCCTTGCCTGTCAGTGTGTCTAATATCCAGTGGTACACACATAGCGAATCAGTGTGTATGTGTAATTTCCTGACTTTCCACTGGAGTGCCAGGTTGATGCCTTTTATCACTGCATCGAGCTCTGCCAGGTTGATATGAGCAGCGTCATTCACCGGTCGCAACCAGCAGGCGTCCTCAATCGCAGCCCCATTCTTCTCCAACAGCACACCAATCGCCAGAGAGCTCGCATCCACCCACACGCTCAGTTCGCCTCCCTGCACGCACCAGTCTCCTTTGGCGGGGTCATCCTGCTTTACCCTTGCGATGGTCTCCTTCACCATGCGAACCAACAGATCGTCCCGTTGTTTCATCGTCCCAGCCTTTGGTGACTGCGCTTGCCCTTCTTTTTATGGTGCCTGTTGCCACACGAGTCCATCCACACACTGGTAGATGCCCCACAAGTCTTCCACACAGGGAGAATATAGCTCGCCTCGTGAAGACATCGGGTACTTCAGGAACTGCAGTTCCACGCCCCCATTTTAAGGTCTCTCGCCCTGTTGAACGTTCAGGCCCAAGACACGGGCGCCATCCTCCAAACGTTCTGGGTCCTTACAAGTCAGACCAAACTCAGCCAGTTTGGACCTCACGCGTGATGACGACACAACGCCTTCGTTCACATATATATCATCAAGGTACGCCGATGTCCCTCTTTTATTGTTTCTTCCTGTGACAACACAGCGTTGACGATGGTCTTCATTATTTGGGGTGCCACGTTCAGCCCGAAGCCCAGCCTAGTAAGGCAGTACCTCCTGCCGGCAAACACCACCGCCTGAAACGGCCACATCGTCTCGCTGACCCGGACCTGCAGGTATGCTTTTCTTAGATCCAGCAGGGACACATTGGAACCCTGCTGGCGCCATTCTCGTAGCTTGCTGGCACAAACGCCAGCATCTGCCGTGAACGCATCAACATGCGCGTTTAGTTCGCGGTAGTCCATCACTGGCCTCACCTTTGCTTTGTTGTGCTGAGCAACCGCCATCAGCGGGATCAGGCCTTTGGGAGGTCCAAGTTTCTCATAGGGTAAGGAATCAACCAGCCATCCTTGATCCATTCACGGAGCTCCCCTTCATATGCAGGCCTTATTTGATTGGGCACATGGTACTGCTACCTCTTTCCGCAGTTTGGCTGGTTCCTGGTTTTCCGACCACCTCCATGAGGTGGTCCAAGTCTTCTGCTGCTGGTCAAATTCGACACTAAAGTCCAGCTGGTTGATCCTCAGAGCTGCGCACACTGGGGCCCTCTCCTGAAACTGTACTGCCCCCGTCTGCGTTATGTGAACACCACCTAAAGCTCTGATGGCATCATAGCCTAGAAGCAGGTCAAAACTCAGTGGTTTTTCGAGCACTACTAGCGCCTCGATGTTGGCCGAAGTTTCCAGTTCTTGTAATGGATGTTCACCGCGCCCACCCATAAACACCTTCGTGTTTCTCCACTGATGGTGGTCACCCTGACACACTTCTTCTTCCAAGTGCGGCAGAGGTCCGCGCACACACTATGGTGCGGGAGCAACCGAATCGAGGAGTGCTGAACACAATGTCTCATTAATATAGACCTGAATGATCGGAAGCGCCTCATCTAATTTCTGCTTGGGGAAGAGGTCGACGCTGGCACCTTGCCCCCGCCCCGCTCCCCGCACAATCCCGGACCATATGTCCAGTCTCATTACACCGGTAGCAACGAACAGCTGTCAGTCGCCTCCTGCAGTTCCTCGCAATTTGGCCCTGGCCACCGCACCTATAACATATGACCCCACTCGGGCAGCCCACCAAACAACACCGTCAACTTCGTCAGCTCGGCCAGATACACGTCGACAGTTTCGCCTGGAAGTAAAGTTCTTGCCTCGAATTGTTCCCATGCAGTGGCGGGGTCGATAGCAAACGCCTTGTATAGTGCTGCCTTGATTCTCTTATAATCCTGTTTTTCCTCAACACTGAGCTGTTGATACACAGCGAAAGCCCCGCCAGACAGCCGCAGAGGAATCACGTGTTCAATGCTCTTTATGCCAGACAAGAGGCAATGCAGTTCTACTTTTTCCACCCAGTCAAGTACCGGGGTTGAGCCATCGAACTCCGGAATCAATTTCAGATCGAATCTGTCCCCCATTGTGCCGAAATAGCTTGTAGTAAAATTAGGTCCAAACAATAGGAAGGGAACGGGTTGGCCCGGCACCGCCTACTTCCGGAAACACACCTCAGCTTCACGACAGCTACAATCCAGCTACAAAAAACTCCACAGATCTTTGCACTCAAATGTTCCAACACCGCCTCGTAGTTCGCTACACACAACTCTCTCGAGTGGTCTCCCGCGTCACATTTATCCCAGCGAACACCAACCAATTTGCATACGCCCAAGTTCTCCTCTCGCCAATCCTCGCTATGCTCACGAGATCGCGTTTTCATAAGTCCGACTCACCGTAATGGTGGTGTTTCTTTCTTTGGACCAATTACTGCCCTACACGCCAGACACAAACAAACCCTCTTATGCCGAGAACTGAGGTTAGTCTCATTTTCATGTCCACACTAACTCAAATCTTCTTCCACAGTGAGCAAACCACACCATTGACCTTTATACCTGTAGGCAAAACAAAATCTGAATGGCTAATGTAAATCTCAATGCCATTATAAAAGTAAGATCTACCTCCTGATATGAGTACTCAAAACCTAGCTTCTATGAATTTCAACGCTGCATACCCTCATTGGGTCCTGAGAAGGGAGGAGGAGGTTGAGATCGCCACTAGGACTGAATCGCCGTTAATGACTAGAAATGTAGAATGGTTTACGAGTAAATGCCTATGTGGGAAGATATGTAAAAATCCACGAGGCCTCAATATACACCAAGGCTGAATGAAATGCCTGGACAGGAAGAAACCAACACAACGTACAGGTCAAAGTTCTGGTAAAATGCAGGAGGACTGGAGCCAGAAGGCACCCCACAGAGCCTCGGATCTTCAAGCACCTGTTACTCATTCACCAGGTATGGCACCTGGAAGAGGATTAAATGGCCCACCAACTAACAACAAAGGGGAATGACAGGAGTTTGATAATGACATCACAGGGGTTTTGCAAGTAGCTGCAAGAAGAGATTTAGACCAACATTTAAAATTTATGGCAGCGATCTTTGTTGAAATACAACATCAGGAAAAGATTTACAATTTGAACAGGAGAGAGCACAAGATAAGAGAATTGAGGAGAGAAATCAGAACACTCAGGGAAACAATTTAAATTGACCTGTACTGAAGACTTAAGAAATAAATTGAAGAATTTACACAGAACGGAGTGGAAGAAGAAAGGAGTGAGGAAACGAGCCAGTTTCAAATCGAATCAGTTTGGCTTTGCTAGGTCTCTCCTTTTAGTGATATTTTGAGTCATCAGTGGGAGGAGATTAACATTTATCTTCAAAACTCCTTCTGTGACCCGGCAAGGGATCAGCAATTGGGCCCAAATGATCTGTTGATTACCTAGAGGCCTCTGAAATATTAATTTCTTTCCAGGTTGAAGTCCCTGTGGTCAGAGCATCTGGGTCTGTATCATTACCGAGTCCTAGTGGAGTCCCTTACATTGTATACAACTGATGCACAGGAATACTCCAATTTCTGTGGAAATTGTTAAGATGATCTGAAGGAGAGGCAGAATTGCTGCACAATGGAGGCAAACCAATGGGCTATGGATCCCTAAGGAAGAATTTTCAAAATTTTGTATCATTTCTCTACTTAACACCGAAGGCAAGATCTTTTGAATTTTGGCCAAACGTTTCTCTTAATACTGTGTCAATAATGGCTATATAGACTTATCAGTCTAGAAGGGAGGCATTGTTGGAATGTCAGGCTGCCTGGAACACACGTGAATATTGACACAACTTCTGAGAGAAGTCAGAAAGAACAAGGGTGACTTAATAGTCTTGTGGTTGGACATCACAAACACCTACAGGTCGATTCCACACAAGCTCATAGGTGAAGCTTTAGAACAGCACCACATTCCTAATATCATTGGCAACTTAATCATGGACTATTAGAACAACTTTCAGGTCAGAGTAACAAGAACCACTATGTCTGCATTGCACAGACTTGAAAGAGGTATCATAACCCGCTGTACAATATTGGTAACACTCTTTGCCTTAGCTATGAATATGATTGTCAATGCTGCAGAAAAGGGAGTGCCATGGACCTCAGTCAGGGGTCCGCAGCCATCAATAAGAGCTTACATGGATGACCTTACAATCACAACGAATACTGTGGCAGGTGGCTCTTGAGGGGGTGTTGAAAGGAACATGAACTGGGCTAGAATGAAATTGAAATTGGTTAAATCAAGGCCTCTAGTGATTGAAAAAGGCTAGGTCACCAACAAATATAGATTTACTGTTGTGGGAATAAATATTCCAATGCTCTCAGAGAAATCAATCAAGAACTTAGGGCAAGACATTCAATAGTAGTCTGAAAGATACTGCCTCTATCCGCTAGATTGTTGGCAACCTGGACACAGCTTTATTAAAAATTGATAAATCAGATCTGGCAGGTCAATTTAAAGTGTGGGTATTCAACACTCATTATTACCCAGAGTACTATAGCTCCTTTAACTATATGAAGTCCTGCTCACTTCGGTAGACTTTGGAGAGAAAAATAACAATGTGTTTGAGAAGATGGCTTGGCTTACCTAAAAGTTTAAGCAGTGCTGCACTGTAAGGTAACACAAATACACTAAAGCTACCACTTTGAAGCCTCGATGAGGAGTTCCTAAGATGTCCACCAATCCAGAGAATCTAAAAACCCAAAAGCAAGAGGATCAGGAATAGACCTGGACAGGGAGACAATGGAACGAAATTAAAGAATTAGCTGTGACAGAAGAGTTGGCACACTGACTCCAGTAGAATGCAGTTCCTAATAAAATCGGCCTACAACATTCGCCCAAGTCCAGCAAATCTAAATATATGGGGAATAAATGAAACGCCCAACTGTGTTCAATGTAGGAGGAGAGGTTCATTGCAGCACATATTAAGCAGCTGTCCCAAGGCTTTAGGGGATGGACGGTATCATTAGAGCCATAGCGAATGCAGTAATGTTAGCCATTAGGTTGTGCAAATTTAAAGTAGGGTGTAAAAAGCCATTAATACATTTTATTAAGGCCAGAGGAAATAAAACAACAACAGAAAAAAATACCCCAAATATGCTTTCAACAGCATCCAATTGGCAGCTGATCACTGACCTGAAAAACAACTGAAATTCCCAAGTCACATAGTAGGGCAAAAGTGTTGCCTGCACTAATATATTTCAACAGCCCAAAGAAATTAATAATTTGGGAATTATCAATTGCATGGGAGGAGAATCACACACTTGCTAATGAAAGAAACCATGAGAAATACCAGGAGCTAGTTGAAAGGTGCCAGCAAAATGGTTGAAAAATCTACTTTGATCCAATAGAAATGGAGTGCAGAGATTTTGTGGGGCACTCATTAAGCAAGGCACTAGCAAAAATTGGAATCATAGGAGCAGCAAAAAAGAAAGTCCTGGTGCAGCTGAAGAAGGATTCTGGTGGATATGGCTAAAGGAATGACCCATGGATTAAAGTATAAGACCTTACAATGAGTAAAACTTTTTTTTTTTTTTTTTTTTGGTATTTCTATAATCATAAAAAAGTATATTATGGAAAATAGGTCAGCATAACAATAGCTACTTTTATTTCTAAGTAATAAAATAAAGATCCTTTGTTTTGTGTCATATTTTGTTTCAGAATTCATAGTTATATGGTCTTGGTTTCATTAAAACTGTTTTAACGTGGGTAATTAAAAAGTTAATATAACATTTTGTACGTCCTTGTTAACAAGGTTGGGAAGTAATGTGTCCCAAAACTCTACCAAATTATATAGATTGTAATAAAAGTATAGAAAAGAAAAAAATATACCAAGACAAAGCAGATTAATTTTTTTTGAGTCAAATTAATTATGCTCTTAATCTCTTTTTTCTTTGAATTTCTTAAACTGACTACAGCAATGAACTACTACAAAGTAAAACTAAAACTCACAGTGAAATGACAAGATTTGAGATAGGCTTCCATTTCTGGCCATGCATTGCACTATGACTTTGCTTGAAGTAAAGAATGCCGTGGCTTGATCTAAGAGCAACTGAAATTTGAACTGAATTGCTTTTAGAAATGGAATAAAGTATGTGAATTTTATTTAGGTGTACATTTAAATAACAATGAATTCTAAAACAATGTAAACTTCAATTTCAGATAGTGAAAAGGTTGCAAAAAACAAAATTGGAATTCAGATGTGAAAAGTGTAAATTCGGACTAACTTTAGACTATTCTTATTTAGTATCATATCTGTGAACAACTTTTTGTTTTCTTTACATTTAAGTATTAAAATATGTAAACAGATGAGATAATTGAGTTATTTATGTTGAGTTTTATAAATGGTCTAAATTGCTTTAAAATTTATTAATAAGTATTAATTTATGGGGACACAGTTTTATTGTGAAAATAATTGTATGTATCAAAGCTTAAGTATTTTCTTGATATTCAAATTTACTTTCATTAGAATTTGTTTTCCAGATGTTCTCAAAAAAGGCTATATGGAATACTCTGGTGGATAATGCCTATTTTTGTGTCACTCTCAACATTTGGTGGTGTCAATGGTATTCTCTTTTTACTTCATCAAGGTAAGTTAATCTCTCTTGTCCTACAGAAGATTGATACAAGCACTGGATAATTAATGTTTTAGTTTGCATTCTAACAATTAGAATTTGGAAATTAAACCATGAAGTAAACTTTAATGTGCCAACCTTCTTTAGCTTCAGAATTTTTAGAACTTTGAAAACATTTTAAATATTCAAAAAAATCTGATAAATTACCCCACATAATTTACATTTCATCTGATTATAGTATTTATAAATATAGTAGATGAATGTTTCAATTTAACACAATATTCCTGATTAGAAATTATGAGGAGATTAAAAGAACTAACTACTAGGTAACTTGGTAGTTTTGCAAAATTTTTTTTTTCATTTCTACAGTAAACAAAAGAAAATCAATTTCTTGTTAGCAAATCTAAAGGACCCCCACAAAGTAAACCTGGCAACTGCTCTTGAAAAGACCGTCAATCAGTGGTTAACTGGGGCAAGATATGGCTTGTAAATTTTAATGCCTCCAAAACCAAACTGCTTTCATTTAACCATTTCTGCCTGCCATCAGCATGGCTGATGCTAAACTCAAGAAGAGCCACACTCTACACCTTATTGGCCTCATGTTTTCCCCTGAAATGAACTGGAGTGACTATAATGAATCAATTGTTATGTCTCCTGCAAGGAAAGTTGTCGGTTCACTGTGTTGTGCCAGAAAATTATAAATTTACAATTTGTCCTGGTCTGGTGCTCCTGCTGTACATCTTGTGATTCTTTACAAAATCCAA